GGGGGGGGGGGATGCACTTACTGGTAATAACTGACTGCAGGACGAGAACACGAACGGGAACAGTCGACAATTCAAACACATATAAATCACACAGAGCTTCCATCTACAAAGGATAACAGGGATCGTACACAGTACTACACACCAAAAGGACATGAACACACGTACTGTGTATGACAAGAGTGCTGCCATCGCAGCTGACGCTGCTTCCAAATCTTTTATTCCATGCACCTGGCGTCAGACAGGCAAAAAATAACATGCAACAACTGCTCCATCAATGGAACCTCATGTTCAACATTGATCTATCCTTCCACTTAAACCACAAGTACGTCCAGGCAAAAGAAATTCATTGAAAACGACTCATTCCGAAAAGATCAGGGGTCGGGACAGGGTCGGCAGAAAGATAATGCTCAAACCAGGAAAAAAAGAAGAGTTGAGGAACGACGTCCGGGCAGGCCGTGAAGGACGTGTGCTCACACTAGTACCTGTCTCTTATACACATCTAGATGTGTATAAGAGACAGATCCCGTCCTGGCGCACCGCTACTCCCACAATCGGAACCACGTGCCTAACCTACATACATGTTCAGAGATGGGGGGGGGGAAAAAGAAAGAAAAGCCCTGTGAATGTTTGTGCAGTTCACACTCTTGGACATAATCAGATGAACATCCACTGCTTGTCATCATTTCGAAGGCCTTTTTTTTTTTTTTTTTGGATTGATGGCCTTTCTTGACCTGCACAACATAAAATAAATAACCCCGCATTATACATCATGCAATCAACCCAGTCAGGAGAGAAGCTCGTCAAGGTCAAGATACAGTATATCTCAGCGCAGTCTCAATGTCGCCAAAATAGTCATACACATCATCAAGTAGCCCAATTTCTGGTCACCAGAGAAGAGGATGGTAGGAGGGAGATGAGACATGGAAGGTGGAAGAGAAAGTAATCATCAACATAGCAGATAGATTTCCCTCAACAAGGCCCTTCCTCTTCAGGCATCTCCCTTCGCCATCAGCAGACAGTCTCTCTGACGCAATCTGACAAAGAGCAGATATCATCATGGCGCTTGTCAGTGCAGACATCTCCTGAAGACAAACAGCAGCGCGCAATGTCGACACGTACGCAAACAGGTAAGCTTCCCTTTCGAACAACCAATCTCACAGCCCTGATCCTCCTCCTCCTCGCCAACATCCAATCAATGTAGTAGACAGTGGTAAGAGTCACGTCAGCATAATCAAGAATAGAGCTGGCGCCGAAGACAGAGAAATGGCGCCAGCACATAGCAGTAGCAGTCTCGCGCCAGCATCCAATATCAAGCCAGCGTCCAGCCAGCATCCAGCCAGCGTCAAGCCAGTGTCAAGCAGCAAGTGCAAGACTCCAATATCAAGCCAGCGTCCAGCCAGCATCCAGCCAGCGTCAAGCCACTGTCAAGCAGCAAGTGCAAGAGTGAATGTCGGTCAGCAGGGGCTGGGTCAACATATAGTGTTGACTCTGGTTGACCAGCCTTTGATCTCCCGGATACGATGGCCCAGATTGACCCGCAGACGATGGCCTGGATCTCATACAGTTGCAGATTCCCACTTGGACTGGATTTCTCGACAGATACCTGCAAAGCGTGTGTGCCTGATCGGTGGCCTGGGCTGGGTCCATGTTGACTTTGACTCGTGAGCCTGAATTTCCGAGCTTCTGTTGACCTTTGACTTTCCCGGTCAACTGTCCCACGTAGGCCCTCTGAAGCCCAGTTTTAGGCCATGCTTCGGGTACCCACAGAAGCATAGGCCTTGTTTCAGGCAATTTCCATGACTCGGGTGTGGCCGTTGGCCTCAGATTCGGCCCTTAGTCCGAAATGACGACCCTAGGGCTCACGACTATTGCATGATTCGAGCTGAGTTATTGCAATTATATTTTCTACGCCTTCTTAAACTGAGTTGACAAACACAACTGATGGCTCAATATGTATGTAACTGGCATGAAAAGTGGACCAGATAACATCTGTACAAACTTTGTTGTGACCCACAGTGCCATGTGTTATATATACATTGAGTGCAACAGGATGGGCAGAACTATGGGAGACTCACAAAAGCAGACATCCATCCTGGCACGCATTGAGTGAAGCTTACCCACCCGCCGCAGCTGGGCACATGATGCACCGTGCATATAGAACTGATCACAAACCGGTCACGAGTTCAAAAACTTCAAATCCAAACGATCACAAACCGGTCACGAGTTCAAAAACTTCAAATCCAAACGACCCCCAGCGGAAAAAAAAATCATTCGACTGGAAACTGATGGATACGATAATGTTCGGGGTGACCCTCTTTTATACAAAAAAAAAAAGACAAACAAAAGTGAAGAGTAAGAGTCGGTCTTACTTCTCTTTGAGTACAGATGCAGATTCCCCGTCATACTGGGCCAGCGCCTCTTTTATAAATGGTAGCCTCATGCTCACCTGGTAGAGATAAAATCAGCAAAATGCTAAAATCAACAAAATTCCAATAGCATAAATGCGGTATCTACTCAACTGAAGTCTATTTGTCAAAGTATATTGTGTACTTCACACAAGGGCTACCAGCCGGGGCGCCCAGGTTGCCTCTGACTGGCCCGGGTGGCTTGATGGGCCAGAATGGGCAAAGTCCCGGTCCAGGGCTTGGACACTCCCAGCAAAAAAAAACAAAAAAGCTCAAAAAAATCCGAAAGAAAAAGCTATGTGATGCAGAATTGCAAGCCAAGCAACTTTTGGCTGAGCGTCATCCAGAAAATCGTTTCGAAATTCAAACTGGAAAAAAAAAAAAAACAGAAAACAAAACAACGAAAACATTTAAATTATCTCACGCCCCCACAAACACCCTTTGGGGAGACATCACCAAATTCAAAGATAAGGCCGACACTTGGGCACATCTCAGTTGGTGCAAAGTTGCCCCACTGCCCCCCCCCCCCCCCCCCCCCCACAAACACCCTTTGGGGAGACATCACCAAATTCAAAGATAAGGCCGACACTTGGGCACATCTCAGTTGGTGCAAAGTTGCCCCACTGCCCC